GACCCTGAGCTCCTGTCTTATATTCCTCTCTAGTGCTGGGGTTAAAGGTGTGTACCACCACTGCCTGGCCTCTATGGCTTTGCATTCTGATCTTCAGGGAAGCTTTATTGGATAATAAACAATATATCACCACATACACATACATATGAACACAAATGAAAGATAATATAATACAAAATTAAAAATACAGATTGTCAACTTGATAGGATCTAGAGTTACCTAGAAGTCAAGCCTCTGGATTTGTCCATGAAGGAACTTCTAGACTGGATTAATTTACTGCAAGAAAACCTACATTGGATGTGTGCATCACTATCCCATGGTGCTATGCACCAGCACCCATCTCTCTGCTTCCTGACTGTGCATGCAATGTGACCAAATGTCACCTGTTATTAATATTTCTCCACCATGACAGACTGTCCTTTCATGTTGTGAGCCAAAATAAACCCTTCCATCCTTAAGTTGCCTTTTTTCCCTGGGTCAGAGTAACTCATACAACATTCTTTCAGTCTTAGTTTAAGTCCCTCCCATGAGGACTGCTTTGTAACTTCAATTGTTTCTTATTTGTTATTACAGATAGTCGAACTGAAGGGTGCTCTGATTTAGGGTTCTCTGACTATATGAGAATAGGGAAGTGATCCACACTCAATAGAAACATTACTTTAGATGTTAATTTTGTCCCCCCCTCCCCGGGCTGGCAGTCTGTGACATGTCCTTTATTGATGCTGTGTAGTTTCCTTTTCAGCTGTCACAGGGTATATAACTCATTTTCCACAGGGCATAGTTTAGTTGGTACATTTACTTTATAAGGTAGCCAACATGTTCCATGAAATATTGAACACACATTTATAAGACAGATAGAGTTTGTGTTCCAAGGTTCTGTCCAATTGTGGATTGATATGAATGTTCAAGGAAGCAGGGCCAGGGTATGCTGTTCAGGTTAAGGGTATTAAACATGTTTTAACTCAAGACATTCTTGACTTAATGATGGTGAAACCGATAAAATGAAGCCACTTGCCCAAAGATTCTTAGTTAAGAGTAGTGTGTTGCTGAACATTGTCAAAGCACTGGTAATGTCAATTGTCCTTGTGGTAACAATACTTTTAATGCTTATTTTTCCTTTAAGTAAGCTAAGATGCTAGAGGCTTTGGTGATTAGGCTCCCTGATTGACAGCTGTCAGACCCCTTCTTAGTGTCCTGCATGGCTTACTTGAGCAGAGGACTATCAGTTGAGAGGACAGCCTTCATTATAGCCAGGCTGCAAGATGTTCTTGAGGAAGCTACATAGCAACCACAGCTGCTTGCTGCTAATGCACAAATTCAACTCCAGAGGATGCTGTCCCATGCACAACTGTTTAGACAGCTTAAGCAAGAGCTTTCTGCTGTTATGAGCTTCAGTTAATCTCAGTAGTCATTCCCAATCAGGCAAGAGGAATACCAGAGGGAACACTCTCTGTGATTATAAAAGAAGGTTGGGCTCACTCTTCCATTCAGTTGGGAGCCCTGTTCCCATGCTGTCCTCTGGTGTTGCAACATGAGGTTCAATCAAAGGATTTTTGTAAGTGGTGTTTTCTTGTCTATTTTCAAACTTTAGTAGTAAAATGAGCTAGCCATACAAAGCAGAGATGATGGTGTGGTGGAGATTTAGTAGGAGGGAAAAGGTGGTGATGGCAGTGGTTGCAGCAGCAGTAACAAGAGGGTGATTTCAGGGCTCCAGGGAGTGTCTGGGGTAGAAGCTGTGGGAATCAGAGGCAGTGGAGCCAATGAGGAACAGCAGAAGTAGAGAGAAGGTGGGAGGGGAGAAAGCCAGGCTGAGGAATGTAGAAAGACTGTGAGGAGTCATAGAAGAGAAACTGTAGGTTCTGGTTGCCATGCAGATCCAAGAGAATTGGCAAGCCTTGTGGGCCAGGGGTTTTAGATAACCTAAGTCCAAGAGCCATAGCACTACCTCTGCAGGGCCAGAACCTCCCAGCTATTCATGAATTGTAACATGAGCAAGCTGCTGCTGCTCCTGCTGCTCCTGAAGCAAGCTGAGAGTGATATCAGCTGCCTCAGACTCCATTCATGTCTAAGGCAAAAGTGTTTGCTTCCAAGCCTGTTGATCCAAGTACTATCCCTGGGCCCCACATGATAGAAAGGGAAGCAACTCCTGCAAGCTGTCCTATGACTTCCCAAGCACTGGGGTTAAAGCCCAGAATAATCAGCATCCAAACCAAGTCCTGACAGTTTGAGTCTCTGGCTTCTAAAGCCTAGAGAAATAAGTCTGTAGCTCTAGGGGTTTGGAGATACAAGTCTTTGGGTCTGCCTTGGGCACCCAAGAACCTAGAGCAGCCTGCCCCAATCTAATCTGACACACTCATGATTTCTGTCTGAGAGAACTATCCTGGCTGGCTGACTGGAAGCAATGGGTTGTCAGGAAGCAACGGGTTGCAAGGTTATCACCTTGCAAGTATTTGTTGATTATCCATGATGTGCCAGGTATTGCAAGTGATGGGACTATAACAGTGAACAGAAGGAACCAGAACATCTTTCTCTAATGGAGCTAATATTCTGATGAGGGAAGTCAATGAACACAGTTATATATTATGCATATATACATAAGCATGCATATATTACATTATATGTAATGTAATATGTATGAAAACTAAACATGAGATGTATTATACAGGTACATATTTTATTATGTATTTATATATAAATAAAAATGCAAGCAGGTGGGAAAGGCAGTGCTAGGTATCCATGACAACCTCACAAATGCTGGAAAACAAAGGACTCTGTGGGAAGCTAAGTGAGGACATGGGTCATACAGTCATCAAGGAGAGAGATAGATGAAGAGGTGGAAAGGGGTTCTGGGCCTCAAAAAATCCACAGAGACTCTGGGTAGCTGCACTGATGTATGGCAAGGGTGCATAAGAAGACTGAGGTTGGTGTGAGGTGTACTCTGCAGTCTGGGTACTCTGAGCTAGAAGGGAAGCTAGTGAATGGCTCTCAGTTGATGAATGAGGCTGTTGGGTTGTCACTGGCCATCCTGGCTGCTGCATTCAAGTAGAGGTGGGGAAAGCATAAGGGCATGGTTGAGTGTGGGAATAAGAGAAGAAGCCATTCCTTGATTTCTAGAATCCACAGTGTCCTAGGCCAGGATGGGACCCATCCCAGATAAGAGTTGTTGAATGGGAATGCCTAGGAAGGGGTCCCAGAAAGGTTTGCAGAAGATTGGATGTGAGAGACATGAAGACACAAATCAAGATGAGCATAGGACCAAACCAAGCCCCCTGAACAGCCTTCATCCAGTAGCTGATGGAAGCAGAAGCAGGCACCCACAGCTAAGCACTGAACCATACTCCTAGAATCCAGTTATAGAGAGGGAGGAGGGATGAGCAAAGCAGTCAAGACCATGCTGGAGAAACCTACAGAACCAGCTTACCTGACGTAGTGAGAACACAGGGACCCCAGTCGTAAAGCTGTGGAACCAGCATTGGACTGAACCAAACTCTCTGAATGTGGGTGCCAGTTAGGAGGCCTGGGTAGTCTATGGGACCTCTAACAGTGGAGCCAGTGTTTATCCCTAGTGCACAAATGGACTTTGGGAGCCCATTCTCTATGGAGGGATACTATTTCAGCCCAGATACATGGAGGAGGGTCTAAGCCTTCCCCCAAATGTTGTGACAGACTTTGATGATTCCCCTGTGGAAGGCCTCACTGTCCTTGGAGAGCTGGTAGGGGGTGGGTTGGGGGGATTGGTAGGGGGCATGGGAGGATGGAAGGGAGAGGGAACAGGGGTATTGGTATGTAAAATGATTGTTTCTAAATAAAAAAAGGAAATAAAAAAAGATGGGCTGAGACATTAGCCAGAGACACTGATTGGCTGTGTGTTGTAAAGAAGATTCTGGAAGAAGTAAGTTGGAATGGCATGTTATGTAAAGTACTACACTACTGCACCATTATCCTGCAGATCTGCTGTCTCTCAGTTCTAGTTAAGTGTGCCTCCTGGTTTGGGTGGTCCTGGCATCTTTAGAAGAAACTAGCCCCAGACAAAGATTCTATGTGTTTATTGACTGCCTCCCAAGTTGCTAGATAAGGTCATTCACTGTAGTTTCCCTTCTCAGAGGATAGGCTGCAGTGACTCCTGGCCAGAAACCCTAGGGCTCTGTCTGATATTCTTTCTGGATTTGGTAAGAAGGAAGCCCCAGGAGTGCCTCAGAATGTCCCACATCATCCTTGTTCTCTCTGAGGATGTGGGAGACATCCGTCCCCATGGCTCTGACTGTGGAGTGGGTCATGGCAGTTACGAAAATCTACCCACTGCTGGAACCTTGCTGAGAGATTCCTGGCACAGCCAGAATGGAGTCCTTGGCCTCAGGCTTCTCCCAGAATGTCTGTGCCTTGAATCATTTTTGCTTCCAATTTAAGAAGAGAAAGACGAGCTTGGGAGGAAGGATGGAGTCAGGGAATGGAACAGAGGGATGGGCATAGTGTGTGCTGTCCTTTCCTCATGTAGAGAGCTGTGTGGGAGGGCCAGGGGTTGGGAGACAGCTCCTCTCTCCAGTGGCTGATTTTGTAAATCAAAGTTAGTTGTAATCATAAACTTTATGTCTTTATCGATCTCACACAAGCCTGTAAATGCATCATGGAGCATGGCTGCATGTACACCAGTCCCGGTCCTGATTCTTCTTCCCATTCTTTTACAGTCCAAGTGGGTGGAAAAAAAACCTCTGTTGTCAGTCTGTGGAGGGGGGATAAGTGTATTGTCCCTGTATTCCAATGCTACCTCGTAGGGTCTGGGAAAAGATCAATGTCAAGCAAGAAAGGCACAAAAGAAAAGCCTCACAGCCCAGGCATGGGCTAGAGCAGTGTTTTTCCCTATTTGGCTTTGGACTGCGAGACACTCCTGATTTAAGTGTCAGGAAAAGCAGAATGGGAGGAACCCTGCAGAGCCAGCGGGGGTAAACAGCCACACCTATGTAACTATGGATTTCTGCAGCGGGGAGGAACTGTCCACTTGCCTTAACCACGTCTTCGTCTGCTGACCTGCACTCCACCGAGTCCGACAGACCTTGCACTGTGCCATCTTCCTCTACCGAGATCACCTTCACAGGGACAGCCACTGTCTTTCCAGTGAGGATGGCTGTGTTCAGTATCTCTGCCTCCTGGAAGAATAAACACATTGTCCATTACCAAACTCCCAAATGATCAGTCCCTTGAATGTACCGATGCCTCTTCCTGGCTCCCTGCAGTTGGCTCAGCCTTTCACCTGGGCATAGGAAGTCTGGTGCTTGATAAACAGCCATCTCCCAAGAGGCCACTTCTTTCAACACCTGATTTTGTAGATAGGATGTGATGGAGTAAATTCAGAACTAATACTATAGGATATGATGGGGATAGTGACGGAGTAAATTCAGAACTAATACTATGTCTGGCAAGCACATAGGAATCTTACTATGTATCCAGCACTCTTTTAAGATCCCTGGAAGTACTGATCCAGAAATCTTCACATCACCAGGTGAGACAGGCAACATTCCTGTTTCTTAGATAGCATGGATAGGTTTTATGATTTGCCCAAGGCCACAAGGCTAAGAAGAAATGAAGGGGAGACTTACATTGGGAACTCCAGCTTCTGAGTCCTTGGTGACCTAAATCTTTCTAACCATATACAACGCATCCAACTTAAAGGAGCTTAGGTTGGTGCTGCCACAAAGAACGAAGTGACCTCAATTGATTCTCTCTCCTCTCCTTTCACCTCCTTGCAGTTTTCCAGGCTTTTCCTTGGTTCTAGCCACACACCTTCAGCCCCTCCCATGCAGCAAGTGCATGTATAAAACTCTCTCACTCCTACAAACTCAGGAAAACACACATTTTGTCACTAAACTCTTCTTTTGAAGAACAGACAAGATGTTTGTCTTTATCTCTCCATATAGTCTAGTTGCAGGGTGTAGTGTAATTGAGCTGGAACTGGGTTGAAAACTAGACTAGCTGTCCTTAATAGTGTTGGAAGGTGCTGTGTAGGCCACATGGCTTCAGGGATTGACATGACATGGGTAGACAGGGAATAAAGGAAAGACACACAGACACACAGTAAAGTTCGGATCAAGTGGACTGGGCTCTCTGATGGACAAGCTACAGCATACTATTTATTACATACATAGTATACATGCTTATATACAGGTGAACAGGGAGGTGGGGTTATTACATACTGGTAAACAAGGAAGAAGGGTTATTATATTTATTATATAAATCTAAGCAAGGAGGCAGGTTTAGCTAATCTTGGTAGGATGAATCTCTATAGGGGAGCCATCTTCAAGCCATACATATTGGCTATGGTGGACATTTCTGTGCACACTGCCAACATCTAAACATGAACCAGAAGGATTTACAATCATGTTGAGCCTCATCCCTGGAAAGCTTTGTCATTTTCCCTTGAGTCCAGGGCTCTGAGGTCCTTGACACGGCCATGCCTATGTCAACAATACACATTTACTCAGGGAACTACACATTACACACCCTTGTCAGATTCTGCACAGCCACAGCCCCCAGGCCCTATCTCCTGGCATGTCAGTGACACTGCAGCTTGTCCCTCTCTGACGGTGTCTCCATGAGTCCTTTCAGCAAACAAGCCCCATTGCATTCTGTAAAGTTGGAGCTTGCCTGGCCCTTCTTGATAGACTAACAGGGGGCAGTTGGATGTATGCAGGGTCAACGGATGTCTTGTGACTTGATCGCCATTATTCTTTGACTTGCAGCCACTAGATCAGGGTGTCACTGCTCTAAATTCAAGTTCTGGTGGACCGAGGCCCCTTCCTTGGGGACAAAGCTTGTAAATAGTCTTGTGAATTTGATTTTCATGCAGAATCTGAACTGCCTGTGAGTAGCTCGCCAAAAGATGGAGTAGCAGTTATCTCCAAGTGACATCACCATTTCCCTATGGCAAGCCTTGTTTCTACTGTAACATATACTTCTTCCCTCCCTCAAGAGGTTCACAGCATGTCAGCTCCTTTGGCTGAGCCTTGGTCTCTGCTAACATATGCTATTTTCATCCTAAAAACAAGCACCACTTTGGAACATTCCTGAACTCAAAGCACAGGCCTCCTAACACTCCACTGAACACACTTTGAATTTTTTATGTACATTTATTTATTTGCATGCACTTGTGTACACGCAGGGGTGTGTGTGTGTGTGTGTGTGTGTGTGTGTGTGTGTGTGTGTCTATGTGTGTTTGTGCCATGGTGCCCATGTGGAGGTCAGAGGACAGCTTTTGAGAATCTGTTCTCTCCTTCCACTATGTGGAATGGAGGAATCAAACTCAAATTGTCAGACTCAGCCACAAGCCATGTCCTCAGAGCCACCTTGCCAGATCTACCCTACAGATACTTCTCTTGGGGACAACTGCATTATTATCAATTGTGAGAAATGATAGCTGTCTGCATTTTGCCGGAGGAATGACCAGACTGTTCTCAATCTTGGTAAAGGAGGCTTCTCTTGGCAGTGGACAACAGTCAACACAGAGATGTTTAACTCGTCAGATAATGAGAGACTGTGAGTGTTCATCCCTAAATGGGACAGCAATATCAACCCCTACAAAACTCAGGGAATATTGAAAAGAGAGGAAGGAAGAATGTAAGAGCCAGAGGATGGATAGAAGAGCTGTGAAATTCTGTCCTCTGGACAAGATGTGGCTGATGAACACATCAACTGCCAGGAATTATGGTAGTTTGCACAAGACCTGTACAGACGACATTCCATCATGAACAGGGGAGAGAACCATGGGGCCCCACTCCTAGCTGAGGAACTATTGGTACTTGATGACTCCCAGAAGACAGAGAATTATTTTTCTCCAGGAATACGGCCACTGGGAGAGTGCCCCACACTCATGAACATGTAGACAGCCTTATTGGCAGACAGGGTTATTCTTAAAGGGTGGGTGTGGCTGGGCGTTGGTGGTGTACGCCTTTAATACCAGCACCCAGGAGTCAGAGGCGGGCAGATCTCTGTGAGTTTGAAGCCAGCCTGGTCTACAGAGTGAGTTCCAGGACAGGCTCCAAAGGAATACATAGAAACCCTGTCTTGAAAAACACACAGATAAAAAGGTGGATGTGGACATACTGGGGAAGGAGAGGAATTGGGGGTAGGTATGATCAAGATAATTTTTTTTTATTTGAATTAGAAACAACATTGTTTTACATGACAATCCCAGTAATCAAGATAAATTTTATACATATATGAAATCATCAAAGTGTTTATTGTGGCAAATACACAAGGTTGAAGAATCAGGTTCCAGATGACCTCTCAGGATTACCTGAGTCCCTGCATAGAAAGACTCCTGCTGACTTCAGTAGGCAAGATGAGGAATGACCAGCTTTTTCTTGTCCTATTGCAGTCTGGCAATTGGAAGTGACATTTACTGCCATATGATCTGATCTATTCTGACTGATAGAATACTTAACCTCAGAATCTGCTCCATGTAATGGTTGATGACCTACTGCTCTTGTTTCTTGGGTAGACCCAGCTTAAGTTATTTTGGTGGCCCAATGTTCCTTGCTCTTCCTAAGTATGGTTGATTTCTTAAAGGTTTTCATTTCCCATCAAAGATCAATAACCTAACAAACCAGAGGCCCTGAACTAGACCAATGACACTTTTAATGCACACTTGTGAGTAAAGATACATGAATAAAAGGGTTTACTGCGTGACTCATTGTGTTACACTACAATTCTATGATGAGATTGATATTTTCTTTCTCTTTTTTCTTTTCTCTCTTAAATTGTATTTTATTTTGGGGGGCAGGTTACAAGGGCAGAGGGTAGATATGAAGGGATGGGGAAATGAATGGGATGGAGATGCATGATATGAAAGATACAAAGAATAAATAAAAAGCAGGGAAAAATAACCTAACAAGTAGAGTGATAGTGATAGTCCTTGCCTTTTGTTTGTCTTCTGAAGCTCTTCCCACCCTCAATAAACAGCAAACTCTGTCAGGATGATGAGTCGGGAGGTTCTCATGGGTACCACATTAAACACAGAGAGTTATTAGATGACCACAGTGATAGTAGATCTAATTAGCAATAAGACTGCAGGGCCATAAATAAGCCCCATGCCTCTTCTTGCCAGCGGGAAGCATCACTCAGTCTGATGCCTGTGACACATACAGATTTACAAACCACTCTGTTTCACCAAATGCATGAGTGCCTGGGTTTAGTGGCAGTAGCATAGCACAGAGAACTCTCCATTTCTGCAGTCACCCTGAAATAAGACCATTCCTCCACCTAACGGGGAGCAATAGGAGTCTGAACAGTGAAGCAGCCTGTTCATCAATCTCCCACTTATGCTGGCTGCTCTGTGTCATCAAGACACACCTGGCTATTCTCTTTTTTCTTTTTTATTAATGTGAATTTAACTGTTTTATCAAAGCCGCAAATGTTCACTGTTAAAAATATCACACTTGCTCGATAGTTCATGAAAAGATACTCCACAAGCATCCCATTCCCCATGCCCGTCTCTGCCTCTTCAACCCCCAACTCTCCTTCCCGTTCTATGAACATTCTCCTATGGGTTGAAATAACATGCAATGTAACCTGGTCTCCACGGAACCATTTTAAATCTAATCTACTGTTCTAGTTTCATTGCAGTTGCTGTAATAAAATGCTCTGTGAAGAGAAACCTAGGGGTGGAAGGGTTTATTTGAGCCCACAATTTCTGATTATTGTCCATCATAGAGGCAGGATCTTAAGACGGGTGATTAATAACATCACACCTGCAGTCAAGAGCAGGGAGAGAATGCTTAGAGCTCACCTCACTTTTCCTACTCTTACACAGCTCAAGACACAAACCTAGGGTAGTACTGCCCATGGCCGGCTGGGTCTTCTAACCTCAATCAACTCAATTAGCAAAAATCAGTCCTTCACAGACCACAGACCAACACACACACACACACACACACACACACACACACACGAGAGAGAGAGAGAGAGAGAGAGAGAGAGAGAGAGAGAGAGAGAACATCTGGGTAGTCCCTCATTCAGACTTTCATGGTGAGATTCTAGGATGTGTCAAATTGATATTTAGAATTAATCATCACATAAATACCATTTGATGGTGTGTGATAGATGGGATGTTGTCTCTACTGCATTTGGTATTCTCTCCTTTAGTCACCTTGCA